TACACTTATGTGGGTAAACCAGTTGATAATTAAATTTGACCAGTTCGCATACTTCTAATTTCATTTCAAACTTTCCGATTGCTTTAGCATGTGATAACCAAATAACCATAATTAGAAGTCCTAACAATACAATTTAAACGAACACTATAATGACACAATTATATGTTGCATGTTCTTGAGTCGGCAAACCAGGTTATCTCTGTATTTGCGCAGGCATTGATTGCGATATTAACCATATGATACACGTGCGATTTCTATTTTCTTTCTTTTCCATTATGCCAAAATATGCCACAGCAACGCGTGGCCGGGCACAGCTAGTGTATAATAAAATTCAAAGGCGTTATTTTAGGACAAGTTCATAAATTTAAGTATCTAGGCACATGGATAACATCTGATGGAAGATGTACCACAGGGATAGAGAATAGGACAGGCCAAAACTGCATTTTACATAATGAAGAACATTTTGTGCAATAAGTTCATGTCATTGGAGGTTAGGAAAAGGATTCTCGCATGCTATATAGAGCCAGTTTTAACATACAGCTGTGAAGCCTGGACAATTAATAAACCAACCCAACAATATCTTGAGGCCTCGGCTATGTGGTTTTACAGAAGAATGCTTAGAATTCCTTGGACTGCTAAGAAGAGCAGCCCATATGTTTTGAAAGAGGCGAATGCTCGAAGACAACTTATCACAAACATCAGGAAGAGACAGTCATCATTTTTTGGTCATGTTATGAGAGGAGGCAAAGTGGATCATGTTGTGACCACTGGAAAGATCTGTGGAAAGAGAGACAGAGGAAGACAGCGGGAGAAGATTCTTGACAGTCTTTTGTCATGGCATGGAGGGGTGTCAGCACACGAACTGATATATACTCGCAATTGTAGATCGCAGATTGTGGAGAGGCATGATCGCCTACGCCAGTCGACAAGGCACTTGATGATGAATAAATCTTTTCATTACTGTTACAGAGTATTGCATTACTGCTATTTTAGGGCCCACCCACGCAATCATTGCCGTCATTATTGTACCATAAAACAGCAGTTGTGTATTTCTCCATAATGCTATGGGAATGTCAGTTGTTTACTAGATGGTCTGACACTGTTGACCACCGCTGTAAATTCAAGAAAATCCTCCACATGCTAGTGGACCAACCTGAAGAGGAAGACCAGATAATGAAAGAGTGTCGTAGAGAATATAAGTTAAGTTCCATACTGGAAGATACACGTTAGAGAGTAACATCGTTTGATGGATGATCGGCGAGAGGATTAAGTTGAGTTGAGTTGAATCAAGAACCGGCATCACAACACTCGGGTCGTTCCCATAAGCGCTCCGTCCCCATCCCGTCCCTCTCTCCCCCTCTCTCTCTCTCTCTCTCTCTCTCTCTCTCAACTCTCTCTCTCTCTCTCTCTCTCTTCTCTCTCTCTGTGTATGTGTGTGAGCTTGTGTGTGTTTGTGAGTGTGTTGAGTGCGGTACCATATACTTTCAGTCTACACCTGGAGCCAGGGGCTGTTGGGGTTGGTTATGCAACGTCCTGTAAAGAATATGCAACTAACCTAATAATATGATGTGGGGGAGCTTTGGTTTCATAGACGAATAATGAGCATATCCTGGTTAGATACAAAGATTAATGAAGAAGTCTTGAAAGATAGTGTCATAAAGAGAACTGATTACCCACATCAGAAAAAGGCGATCTTCATGTTGCGAGAAGCAGAATGCTGGAGTGCGTCGTGACGGTAGAAAACTTGGAGGAGAAAAGAGGCAGAGAGACCGAGATAGAAGATGCTGGACGGTTTGACATCCTGGCCTGGAAGATCATATGTGTCAGAATTGATTGAAAGTAAACGAGAGATGCCTGTGATGTCTTTCCTGTCTTTCTACACACTCACACTGAGCCCGTCCGACACGCACACTTGCCAAAGTTGCTATGGTTGGTTTATCGTGTCAGTGCTCACAATCCACAGCTCCCGTTCAACAGTAACATACAACTCTGAACAAAGCTGTACCGTCGTAGATATATATACACTGTATTAGCTCACAGACACCATGAAATGACTGACATACATATAAGTAATTAACACAGAACTACAGCCATCTCCTCCTGCCAGTTTAGACATATAAGAAGCTGCATTGAAGGACTCTTTCTGCCGCAACTGTGTCCCAGCTGCTGCTACTGGCTGATTGTACCCGATCGCGCGGATCAACCTTTTGTAATTGACGTGACCGTCCTTTTGACAACTACTTGTGTCCTTCTTTTGGCATCAACACAGCGACATGGGAGGCTGCTGCGCAAGACCGTTCTCGAAGGCGTACGTCTTTTAGGCATGGTACATCTGCCTGCCAGGAAACGGAGGTTGCACAGGCAGAGAAACGGAGGCAGACTAGAAAGAATCGTACTGCTAATCCCACACTTACCGCGGCTTCCGTCTGTTGTCCGCACTGTTCAAGAACTTTCCTGGCTCATATTGGACTAATCAGCCACCTTCGTACTCATAATCATTGATAATTACTACTTTGGATGAAAGTAGTCTTCATCACTCGCGATGAACGAACAACATTCACCTATGTCTTAGAGATGCCGTCACTAGAGGACATACGGGCTGATGCGTAATATCTTGTATTGAACCATCCAGGCCTCCCTGTGGTCTGTCATATAACCTCGGGGTATTCCTAAAACCTCACATTGGGAAAACCATCACACCGGAAGCCCTACTGCGGCAGCTCGCGCAGACAAAATGAACACTTGATTCCGTCACCCAGCGTGACACATAGATTCATACAGTTCAACCCGGCAACACCTATACTAGAACCTACGCCCACGTACGAATGTTACAAGAACAGCCATTTTTACGTATTTTATTTAAGTAAACTGTCTGCCGCGGACACTGGGCCCGGATACATCGTGGCTTATGAACCCCGTATAAAATATAAAATAGATAGCTTTTATTATTTTCTGAAAATTGCGAAAGAAACAATGCCATTGGCATAATCTAACTAAGCTGCAGCTTATGGCCTCACAAACTGCAAGGGCCTCAACAGATTCATATTTTGTTGTTTACAAATTAGTTTTCAACAGAGCCTTTAATATGAGTAAATAAGTATATAATATAATTTCTATGATTTTGCAGACACATTTTTTTATTACTTTATTTAATAAACATTAAACGACGGTATATTTCCGTCATCTATATATTTTACAAGGCGTACATATTTTAAAGTTCTCTGATATTAGCTCATGTAGTTTACAACGGTAGGGGCCTCAAGTCTAAATCCGGCTCTACCAGCCAGGAAGAGAACGGATCACCTCACATCATTTGCTATGACCTAGTCTGTGTAGAGACCTGAACAGTTCACACCCTACTGAAGTATATATTCTACAGTTCCTTGTGTGGGTTCTGGAGTCCCCTTGATTTTGTAGAGGTTATCTTCAAAGTCAAATGGAGTCCCCTTGATTTTGTAGAGGTTATCTTTAAAGTATTAATGGAGTCCCCTTGATTTTGTAGAAGTTATCTTCAAAGTCAAATGGAGTCCCCTTGATTTTGTAGAAGTTATCTTCAAAGTCAAATGGAGTCCCCTTGATTTTGTAGAAGTTATCTTCAAAGTCAAATGGAGTCCCCTTGATTTTGTAGAGGTTATCTTCAAAGTCAAATGGAGTCCCCTTGATTTTGTAGAGGTTATCTTCAAAGTCAAATGGAGTCCCCTTGATTTTGTAGAGGTTATCTTCAAAGTCAAATGGAGTCCCCTTGATTTTGTAGAGGTTTTGTCAAATGGAGTCCCCCTTGATTTTGTAGAGGTTATCTTCAAAGTCAAATGGAGTCCCCTTGATTTTGTAGAGGTTATCTTCAAAGTCAAAAATGGAGTCCCCTTGATTTTGTAGAGGTTATCTTCAAAGTTATCTTCATGGAGTCCCTTGATTTTGTAGAGGTTATCTTCAAAGTCAAATGGAGTCCCCTTGATTTTGTAGAGGTTATCTTCAAGTCAAATGGAGTAGATTTTGTAGAGGTTATCTTCAAAGTCAAATGGAGTCCCCTTGATTTTGTAGAGGTTATCTTCAAAGTTATCTTCAAAGTCAAATGGAGTCCCCTTGTATATCTTCAAAGTCAAATGGAGTCTCCCTTGATTTTGTAGAGGCTATCTTAAAGTCAAATGGAGTCCCCTTGATTTTGTAGAGGTTATCTTCAAAGTCAAATGGAGTCCCTTTGATTTTGTAGAGGTTATCTTCAAAGTCAAATGGAGTCCCCTTGATTTTGTAGAAGGTTATCTTCAAAGTCAAATGGAGTCCCCTTGATTTTGTAAGGTTATTTTCAAAGTCAAATGGAGTCCCCTTGATTTTGTAGAGGTTATCTTCAAAGTCAGAGTGTATATGCTTACAAATAAGCCAGTTCCGTAAATAGATGTGCACGCAGGACTCAAATTCTGGAACAAAGCCAAAGTCTTGAACATGATGGGCAACCAGAACTGGGAGATGAGAGGTCGGGACTCGTTGCGCGACTTAGACTCGATTTCGACTAATTTAAGTCGCGTAATTTTTGACTTGCGACTCGAATTGGGGTTTTGCCCACCGACTCGACTTGCGACTGGTGGCTTCGACGACTTGATAGGACTCGTTTTTTGCTGCCGACCTCTGTGAGGTTTGGGCATGAGCGTCACATTTTGAAACATCTTCATGTAAAACTGGACATTATACGTTGTTTCGATTAATCAAGCCTCACTTTCGACTTCCTAAGTTTTTTTACGTAGTGACTTTTTCACACTGCCATTTCTGATTTTGTATTTTCGCCATTTTTAAAAAAAAATGATCCATGATCATTGTTCCGTGCACGACTTGCAAATGGCTTGAAACATAAAGAGTCACAACTCGGGACTCGACTTGGAAGCATTCTTGGTGACTTAATAACTTGTTGGCATTCATTGGGACTGACTTGGACTTGGAGGGTGGCTACTTAGCCCAGCCTCTGCGATAAGATACTGTAGTTTTCCTATGCCATTCCTGTTTTATTTTTATCCTGGTTCAGTTCCTCTGCGCTCGTCTGAGGTATTTTTAGAGGTGAAGCGTGAGATAGATGGAAGTGAATGTAAAGTATTGCACCATAAAACTTTTATTTTCCTGTTCAATAGAGCGTAAATGACAGGATTTATTGCGGAATGCGACCAGGATACGTAGATCATAACTGTGTGCACTGGCAAGGAGGTATGACCCCGGCAGGGGTCAACAGTGCTCGACACCAGGAAGGGGAGATAAGTGACGATATAGTTGATCAGGATGGCCGAGATCATGAGCAGGATTTTTTTGGTGTAGCCTTGAAATTTTGGAGCCTGTGATTGGTGTCCCTGTTGAATCCTTCTGCGGGATTTCATGTAGATGATCAGAATGGCAGAGTAGCAGTAGAAGGTGACAGCTGTCATGATGCAGATCACAGCAAAAGCAAGGATGGTCTTAAATCCAATACCTCTGTCCACCTTGATTAAAGAACAGTATCCTGTCTTATATTCATATCCAAATGTGTCCCACGTGTCAGTTAGTGGGACAAGAAAGACGAGTATTGCTATGACCCACGGCAGACCCACCAAGGCAAAGAGACGAAGATGTGTGTGACGGTTAAGAGTAAATGCTTTGATTGAGACCTGATGGACAATCGTGAGATACTGACACACCGTTAGATTCGTAAGGATTAAACATTCAGCCATTAGTGTCACATACATTAGATAGCCAAATGCTTTGCAAAAGACTTTCCCAAATACCCACTGGCGGTAGATGCTGGTGGCAGTGATGATGGGAAGAATGATTGTGGTACTCAGTGCATTGGACACACACAGGTCCAAGATCAGCATCATAATCGGAGAAGCTTTGTAAAGCCTGGCCTTGCAGATCAGCGACACCGACATGGCATTACCCAGAGTTCCAAGCACAGCTATGGTCAGAGAACAGCCAGCGTGAACGTTCCGTAGCTCATCGGTTAGTTCCGTCTTGTTTACTGAACACATAGGTGAAATTTGCACCACTACCGCAGTGCTTGCTTGTTTACAGCAAGAACTTAAAACTTTATACTAGTACTTGATTGTGTAAAGCAGGGACTTTCTGTCGTTCGTCTGTTAGTTGTTCTTATTTTCCGAACACATGGTTGTATCTGTACTCATTCTTGGTTGTTTTAATTAGGACATATTCGGATATTTTTACTAATGCTTATTGTACTTTATAGATTTTATGTTTTTATTTCCTGTAAATGAAAGCCAATGACCAAGAAAGGTGGCTGGATACCCACACCAAATATTCTCCTCAAGACTCGCTTCATAGCTTTTTTTTTTTTTTTTTAGAGAAAGTCAGTTTAAAACGTTCAGCTAAGGACAGGCCACAACAGATTTTGCCAATGAATGTTTTAGTTCCCTCCAGGTGATTCCTACTTAGTTCCCTTCAGGTGACTCCTACTTATTTCCCTTTATGTATTTTCGGTGTAGGGAACACGGAGGTGTGTCCTTGTCATTTGGCACCAGAAAATGTTGACCGTGTCTTTCAGAAGTGTAAACTATAATGCTACTGGCAGAGAAACAGTCTGACTTGTTCAAACCTCAATCAAGACAAATTTGTATGGCACACGGGGGAAATCTGAACTAAACAAAAGCTTTCATCAAGGCTACCGGCCTTTGTGATATAAATGTTCTGTCAAAGGGGTCGAAGAACAAGAAGAATACCTCTTCTTGTATGTTTGTGTACATGGAATATTCTTGGGGCGCAAGCAAGTGATCGCCTTCCATGCGTTGTTCTCATCCCAAAGGTGCAGACTGTCAAACAAGTGAAGCCGCGACCAGTGTTGCCACTTTTCTTTGACAAAAAATATCCAAAACGGTGTCAAAAAATATCAAAAAAGATCTAAATCTCAGTGGAAAAGATCTAGAAAAAACATCCAAATTGAAAAAGTCAAAAATTACATAGCTTTTGTTATGACATACCCTACATAATCATGTCTTCACCTTCAATGATGTCTGCCTCACAAGATCCACAGGATAGACTTAGCTTGGATAATGAAGTTGAAGCTTCAGATCCAAAATGACCCTGGTATGCTTTAGCTGTTCAAATTTCTTTATAAGTGGAACAGTAGGCTTATTTCTCTAGTCTCATCTTTACTTACTTTACTTTTTCCTTCCACGTATGCCGCTAAGCGTTGTGGGGAGATGCAAGTTCCTGTCGTAAGCAAGGCGGGCAGCATCTGATGTTCTGAGGCCATGCTTTTGGCAGGTTTCGGAGACCCCGTCAATCCACCGTTTCCTTGGTCTTCCTCTTGCCCTATATCCTGAGCTTCTTTAGTTGAAAATTTGTGATGTTATTTGATCATTTTTCATCCTGGTTAGATTTCCAAACCATTTCATTCTTTGATGTTCTATGTAGTCTAAACATGGTGTAGTTTTGACAGTGTTTCTAATGTCTATATTCTTTATCCTGTCTAGTCTGGTCTTATTCGCTGCTTTTCTTAGACATTTCATTTCACAGGCTTCTATTTTTCTTTCGTGGGTCTTGTTGATTGTCCATGTCTGGCACTGGTAGCAGAGTGTTGGAATGAAGATGGTGTTTATCAATTGTCTTTTGGTCTTCATGGTTATATCTGGATGTTTAAGCAGAGGTGATAGTTGGTATGTGACAGCATTTGCTTTCTGTATTCTTGTTTCTATCTCTCTGTCCATTCTTCCATCCTCTGTAAATATACTGCCCAAGTATTTGAACTCTTTGGTTTGCTTGATTTTGGCACTTCCAACACTTATATTCAGTGGCCTGTGTGTTCTGCTGATCTTCATAACTTCTGTTTTTTCTGTACTGATTCTCATATTATGTTGTAAACAGCTGTTGTTGAGAGTAGTCAGATGTTCCTGTAGATCATGTTCATTTTGATACAGTATGCTTTGATCTAGTCTCATCAGGACGAATTTTAATGGCACGATAGCTTTTAAGAGGTCAAATTTCATCCTGTTTTTTAGGTTAGATTTGATATAATTCCTAGCACTGAAAATTCTTTCTACGTCAGCATTTGAGTGGGGTAGTATCATAGCAGACATGGCACTTTAAAGAGCTTACAGAATGGACTGTTTGATGAGGCATCTTTAAATTGTCTCACTTCACTCCAAAACGCTTTAGTTTCTGTTTTGTTTGTCCATTCAGCTAACTTTATTTTGGTTAACTGATATTCTGCTTCCGCGACACTATTATCAGTAGCCCCTAAAAATGTCATAACTTTACAATATTTAGGTATGTCCTTTATTGGCTGAAGTATGTTGCTCACAGAAAAAAGTGAAATATTTTTCAAAAATCTAGATTTTCAGGAATCTCTGCTACAATTGCTTCAGTAATGAGATAAGGAAATCTTGACAGCGTTTTCTGAAGTTGTTCTCTTCATTCTCTGTTAACAGTCCTTTTGTTTTTAAATCATCAATTTTTGATTCGATTTAATATCCAAGGTGTGGCTTAGGAGCCAAATAGCTCTCTATAGTGCAAGTGAGCAAATCAGCTTTAGAAGTTGGCAACACCAGTCTTTTACCGAGTGAAATAGCAAGGTGAGATCATCAAGTAATTTAACTTTATCAGCAAGTTTAGATTCGTACAGTTTATTAACTTGTTGCACTTCCATTAGAATAGGTTATAAAAAGAGAATGAATGACAAATTTTTTTCATCACTGTACATTCCATATAGTATTTCAGCTGTGTAGCACTTTTCACTTTGTCTTGTTATTTCAAAGTGTGTCTTCAACTTCAGCCATTGCTTCATAATTCTTTCAACAGCTGGTTAAATTGATAACCATCTAGTTTTGCAATCTGGCAGAATTTTCGGTGATGTGGAACCATCATTCAAAGCTGTATATAATGTATTGTATTGCTGTTGTCTGATAAATGATTTGGAAAACCAGTAAAGTGTTTCAGCAATAAGGTATTCCAAATTCCTTGGTAAATATTTTGATGAAGCATGTGATAATGCTAGCTGCAATGAATGACGCATACATTTTATAAGTATTAACGATGGGTTAGCTACCTTCAACTTGGCATAAACGCCATTGTTTATACCAACCATCATTGAGGCATTATCAGTACCAATTACAGCCAAATTCTTCAAGCCTAACTGTTTGCTGATTAAAAGGTCCTTCAGTTCCTAAACTATACTTTCTACATCACACTTTTCAAATTGAACTAGTCCAAGATTTTTTTACAAATCGATCAAATGGTCACAGTTTGAAATTGCGCAGTGACAAATTAAAAACATTGCGACTAATACTTCACCTTTTGATGATTCATTTATAAGTATAGTTCTGAAAATAGATGTCAGCAGTGTAATATCTTTAAATGAAACTTTATTAATCAGTACCGGGGCTGCCAGATATTTGTGCGTTGCCCCCAGTGAGAGTTCAAAGTTCAAGTAATGGCAGTTGTCACAATGTACGTGCCAGACCAAAACAAAAATATTGTAGTAAATAATTTACACAGTAATTATTTAAATTGACAATCAAAGAAAAAAAAATCTATAAAATATCTAACTACATATGAAAAGGATCTGGAAAAATATTCACGATCTAAACATCAAAAACAGTATCTAAATGCAATGAAAAAGATCTAAATTTGGATACAAAAGATCCAAAGTGGCAACACTGGCCGCGGCACGTTCAAATATACGTTCAATAAAGATCAGGTTGGTGCATAGCACTTGTTGCACCAAACAGCCAGACAGAAGGCAGGAAAAACACATTCATGCAGCCATCGTGATGGAATGAACCGAGCTGAGTTGAGTCAAGATCAGTGTTGCCACTTTTAATGTTTTACATCCAGATGTAGATGTTTTCCTTACATTTAGATGGCGTTTTTGACGTTTAGATGGTTGATGTTTTTCTAGATTTTCATTTGGAGTGAATTTATCAAATCTAACCTTAGAAACAGGATGAAATTTGACCTCTTTAATGCTATCTTGACAATAAAATTCGGCCTGCTAAGAGTAAGAAAAGGCTGCTCTACTTATCAGCTCACTGATTGGGTATTAAAAGAAATTGGAACAGCTAAAGCATACCAGAGTCATTTTAGATCTGAAGCTTCAACTTCATCATCTAAGCCAAGTTTATCCCGTGGATCTTGTAAGGGAGACTTCAGTAAAGATGATGACATGATTCTATTCTTCTTCTTCTTCACTTCCTCTTTTACCGCTGTGGGTGTCGAGGGAGATATAAGGTTCTGTTTCTAGCTCTTCTGGCTGCCTCGACCATAGGCACATCGTGCTGTTGTAGAGTTTCTCTGATGTTATCCTTCCATCTTGTTCTTGGTCTACCCCGTGCTCTACGTCCTTCTTCTCTTTCCATGTATGCTTTGTATTGTATGGTGTCACAACCGTTTATATCTCATTATGATTTTTGTAGCGGTAAAAAATCCATTGCCGGCTTGCTAGGTCTGTCGCAACTTCACCAGAGCCCCGTTGGCCAGGACGTTTCGGGGTGACCCAGGGTGGCCTTCATGGCTACCGTAGCGGTCCCGTGGCACGAGGCCACACCAGACTTCGCCCACACCTAGCAATCCCCTACTTTGTCCTGTTACCACCTCTCACGACGAGGACGTGGGGTTGGTCATGATTCTATAGGGTAAGTTATATCAATTGCTACGTAATTTGTGACGCTTCCAATTCGGATGTTTTTTCTAGATGTTTTCCTCGCAAATTTAGATTTTAAAAGATATTTTTAAACTCCGTTTTGGATGTTTTTTTGTCAAAGAAAAGTGGCAACATAGGTCAAGATTGACATCACAGCACTCAAGGTATTCCCATTCGTGCTCCGTCCTCATCTTCAGCAGCCAGCGCAGAGTTCCAATACTGATGGTATCGGTCACAACCTGGTTATATGTCCGTCTTGCCTTTCATCTGAGTGTAGTGAGCCGGCCAGACCCTCTGGTTACACCCAGGTGCCTAGAAAATAGTCTAGAAAATCGTAGGTGTATCACTGTGTACCCATGGTTGGCCAGTTGGATGGAGAGAGCGCTTTTGTTTGGGGACATCGAGATCGGAAACAAAACGACTACAATAAATGGAGAGTAATTACCTTATTATCTTCTGTTATGTCAAAACATTTTTGCAATGTAATCCTCAGTAGAAATAAAGAAGAAGTTAATACAATCATAAGAGAAGAACAAGCTGATTTTTTAACTGGAGCAATATGTCTTGGTTATATAATTCTTCTTCTTCTGTCTTTCTATCCCCAATGGAGCATAGGCCCTCAACCAACTCACGCCAAGTCGTTCTATCCTTCGCTATTACATGGAGCTCTCCCCATATCTTCCCCATCTTTCGAACTTCATTCTTCAGCTCTCTTCCCCATATTTTTAAAATATTTTTTCCTATGCGCATGTGGGTTCCAATGCAAAGACATTCTAGTTATGCCGTTCTCCTGTTTTTTAATATGTGTCATATCCAACGCCATCATCTTTTACTCACCTCTCATATAATTATGGAAATAATTCAGAAAGCAAAAAAATGAGGATAACGAGAAATATCTGGACAGATACCTGCCTTGACTGCAGCAAGACAAAAAATGTGGAGGTATATTGGGCACACTCTGACACGAAATGAGCAGAGAATGACAAAACAAGCGATATCTTGGGAAACAAATGGTCAGAGAATAAGAGGACATCTATGAGAAACATTAAGAAGAACATTATTACGAGAAGTTAAAATGATGCGCTGAACTCCATGTCAGAAATCGAGAGACTTGCATGCAATAGAGCGGAGTGAAGGAATCGAATGCGATCCTTATGTGACAGTTAACGGCACACGAAGAATGATGATGATGTCTGGCTGTTTGGCACAACGAACACCATGCACCAACCTGATCTTTATTGAACGTATAGTTGAACGTGTGTGGCGACTTCACTTGCTTGACAGTATGTTTCTCTTCGATGTTTATTTATGGGATGAGAACAACGCATGAAAGATGATCACTTGCTTGTGTCCCAAGAATATCCCAGTGCACGTACGCATGTTATATACATACAAGAAGAGGTATTCTTCTTCTTCTTCGACCCTTTTGTCAAAAAGTTTATACCACAAAGGGCGGTAGCCTTGATGAAAGCTTTTGTTTAGTCCAGATTTCCTCATATGCCATACAAATTTGTCTTGATTGAGGTTTGAACAAGCCAGACTGTTTCTCTGCCAGTAGCATTATAGTCTACAATTCTGAAGCACATGATCGGCATTATCTTGAGCCAAATTACAAGGAAACGTCTCTGTGTTTCCTACACCGAAAAACATCGACGTATGTTGTCATAGACTGTTGTGTCCTTTCCTTAGCTAAACTAGCTAAACGTTATGATTTGCCCGTCTCTATAGAAGCTATGAAGCGAGTCTTGCGGCGAAAATTTGGTCTGGGTATCTAGCCAGCTTTTAATGTCACTAGTTTTTATGTACAAGAAGTGAAAACATAAAATTATAATGTACAACAAAAAAATTCAGACCCTGTCAAAAAAAGCAGTACCAATAAACTACACACAGTTTCTGCTTTATACAGCCAAACACTAGTCTACTTGTATAAGTGCAACTATTTGTCCAGAAAATATAACATAACTAGCTGATCAGCAATGGCCAGTTCTGGCTTTACGCAAGCGGGCACTGAAGTAGAGCAGTATAAATTACAAACCATGTGTTCAAAAAACAAGAAAGAACTAATCTATACACAATAAAGATCACGGATTTATACAAGCAAAGACTAGTTTACGAGCATAGATACACGGGTTTCTGTGACAGGTTCAATTCCCGGCACGGTAACTATAGCTTTCGATTTTTATGTTGTCTAGTGTGTTCTTCTATCTTTCTACTTCTTTCTATGAGTGCCGTTCACAATACTTTCTGTTACTTGATTAATTCATAATATTTAACGGCCTCAAATGGTTCCCCCCTCTGTTTATTTTCCAGAAAATCAGCAAGAACTAGCTGATGAACTATGGATAGTTCCTGCTGTATGCATTCAAGCACCACTTGTATAGATCAGACTATTTGTCTTGAAAGCAAGACAGACTGATGAACTTTTAAAAGTGTCAGTTACAACCATGTGTTCAGAAAACGAGACAGAACTAGCTAATAAACTAACCGATGAACTACGGAATATTCACGCTGGCTGTTCTCTTACTATAGCTGTTATAGGAACTATGGGAAATGCCATTTCGATAACGTTAATCTGCAAGGCCAAGCTTTACCAAGCTTCTCCGATTATGATGCTGATCATAGACCTGTGTGTGTCCAATACACTGAGTACAGCAGTCCTTCTTCCTGTCGTCGCTTTCGTGAGCATCTACCGCCAGTGGATATTTGGGGATGTCTTATGCAAAGCATATGGCTATCTGCTGTTCGTGACCTTAACCGCTGAATGTTTAATCCTCACGAATCTAACGTTGTGTCAATATCTCACGATTGTCCATCAGATCTCAATGAGAGAAATCATTATCAAACGCCAAAAACACCTCCGTCTCTTTGCCTTGTTGGGTCTGCCGTGGGTCATAATGATACTTATCTTCCTTGTCCCACTAACTGACACTTATGACACATTTGGATATGATTATAAGACAGGTTTTTGTAGTTTAATCAAGAGGGACAGAGGTATTGGATATAGGACCGTCGTTTCTATTTTTTTGCTCTTGCGTCATGACAGCTGTCACTTTCTACTGCTACTCTGCCATTCTGTTGATATACATGAAATCCCACAGGAGGACTCAACGTGGACAACAATCGCAGACTAACTGTCAAGGCCGCACCAAAAGAATTTTGCTTATGATCTCAGCAATCCTGGCCAACTATGTCATCACTTATCTCCCCATTCTGGTGTCGAACACTGTAGATCCGTGCCGGAAACGACTCCCCTTGCCAATGCACACAGCTCTCATCTACGTATCATGGTCTCACGCTGCTATCAATCCAGTCATATACGCTCTACTGAACAGCAGAATCAACGTTTTATGGCGCAACAGCTTAGGTTTCTTTCCACCTGCCCTGTTCCACAAGCTCACCTCTAGCAATGCTCTGGACGAGCTCGGAAGAAGTGAGCCACTTGAACCATTATCCACACACACGGGGCAGGAGGTTACCACGGAATTATCTGGTGCTCTCGTTGAACTGTGTACAGTGCAGACTGCACAAAGCGATCTCGGACATGGCGAAACTCTGTTGTGAAGATCAGTTTGCTTATTCGCGATTATTTTTCTTGTATCTGGAGAAGAGGAATTTCTGACAAGAAGAACCATTTCTTGGGTCCCCGGTGAGTTCTTATGGAGTCTGCACCGTAATACGGTTGAATGGCTGTCTAGCGTTTCGCTCTTATCAGATTGCCATCCTCCCTGTGTGGGTTTCGGGACTCCATTTTGGTGGAAAGAGAATACAGCCACTGACCTGCAGATAAGCATGTCGTAAAAGCCCACTAATTAGGAGTGTTTCCGTCAAAGTTGGTGTGCATCTTAAAAGCTAGGAACTAACAGCCTGCACACAAGTAAGTCATATCTCTAAAACAGATATAAAAATTCAAGTTCTGGAACGAGACTAAAGTTCAGGAGTGGACGAACAACCAGAACTTCATGTTTAAGTTTACAGTCCATGAACGGGAGGAAAAAAGATGATTGTTAACAGAATAGTAGTTCCAGTATAAACATTGGAGCTCATCTGAGGAAAGATTCGGCAACACGGCATTCAGGACAAGCCCATGTTAGCTCGAACTTTATCCCGACTAGACTCATTACACGAGGGTTGAAGACAACTGACGTGTGGACTGAGAAGGATCGAATTGCGTCAACAGTCTTATTACAAAATTAATTAAAATTTGCACACACACACACACACACACACAGAGAGAGAGAGAGAGAGAGAGAGAGAGAGAGAGAGAGAGAGAGAGAGAGAGAGAGAGAGAGAGAGAGAGAAAGAAAAAGAAACAAATCTGTCTCTGTTCGTCTATGAACCCATGGATCTGCAGATAAGCATCTAGCCACTACATCACGGCGGCTCCCGGATCAGATGTAAAAGATCTTGTAATTTTCTGTGCGTGATTTCATCTAAGACATCGTGAACCGTGTCCGAAGATAGTCGTGTTGGTAGCTTGGACTACTTACTGGATACATGGAGTGTGACAGATGACTGTTTTTAATGTGATAAAAATCAAGGTCTATCGACACACGGAATTAGGTCATTACATTAGTCGTCATAAACATGTAAGTAACACTTGCCAATAAAACTATTCGTTTCTCATTTCTACAGCGTTTTGGTCAGTTGACACAAGTTCCGTCGTTGTAAAGTTCTGGTGTTTTCTGCCTGTTTTTCCTACACTTGTTATCCTTGGCATGAGATGTAACTTGACCTAGGCATTTATTTGTACAGTAAAGCTTTATAACGGGACCTCTGTGCAAGTGTCACCGTACAGGTTTTTATATTCAATGTGTCATAGCATTCTGTGTATCATAGTATTCTGTCTGTCATAGTATTTTGTGTGTCATAGTATTCTCTGTATATTAAAGTATTCAGTGTTTCATAGTATTATGTGTGTCATAGTAGTATGTATGTCATAGTATTCTGTGTGTCGGAGTATTCTATGTAGTATTTATCTGTGTCGTAGTATTTTGTATGTCATATTATTCTGTGTGTCATAGTATTATATGTGTCATAGTATTCTTTTGGTGTGTCATAGTATTATATGTGTCATAGTATTATTTCTGTGCGTCACAGTATTCTGTGTGTCATAGTATTATATCTGTCATAGTATTCTGTGTGTCCTAGTATTCTGTGTGTCATAGTATTCTGTGTGCCACTGTATTCTGTGTGTGTCATAGTACTCTGTGTTTCATAGTATTTTCTCTGTTATAGAATTCAGCGTGTCATATTATACTGGAAAAAAGGAGAGTCTTACGTGTAACGTCACAAAATCCAGTATAAGGATGGAGGTTGAGGCAGTAACGGCATGTTTCTGTTAGCTTAAAGGCAAGCAGCGCCGCCCAACATGTTGCACTTGTGACAGACTCACAAGCAGGTTTAGGAAAAATGAAACTGTAAAGTAGCTTTGTTTATGTTTGTTTATTTATACAACGGATCAACATCATGGCACAAGGGTGGTAACCCAAAAGTGCTCCCGTCTACTGCTAACTCAAGCTTGAGTCCGAAAACTCTCAACGCAGTGCACGAACTCTGCAGCACCGGCGAGGATCCTGAAATACTTTGGGTAGATTTTTAACTTTATATTTTGCTCTGCGCAGCACCGTTACGCTACTCTTTTCGATTTCCAGCTGCCAAGGTATTTTTTTTGTAAATTTTTTTTTACGTGCGCAAAAATACACACTGGCGTCCGATTTACTATCCAGAGGCCAGGGGAAATTACCAGAAGTCCACGTTAAAAACTTCCAGCCTTCACTGGGGCTTGAACCCGGGACCTCCAGCAACCGAGGCGGATGCCATGCCTCGAGACCATTCAGCCCCCCAGTTACGGAAACACCGCATAAAGCAGTTACTAAACATCAAGCAGAGAAATCGAATTGAATGTTATTGCAGCGCTCTGACTATCTGAACAACGCTCCAGTCACATATATCAGATTGTCTAACCTATAGTCAGAAGCGGTATATGTTGCATTAGCTTGAAATTGTAATGTTATGGCTTCGGATTCAACGATTAAACTGCTGTGCACGTTTCTTTGTCTTGTGTTTGGTTAGCTTTCCGATGGGTTCGCGCACATGTCCACGGTTTTGGTGGGCTGCGAATATAAACATTTTGAGGAACACTGCACTTTTGAGCATCAGCCGTTTAAAGAACGGTAACAAACTGCTGAACGTTAGTTAAGTGGGACCACGAACGAACAGCCAACGAATGATATGGTGGTCTGCGATGCCCTATACCGCCATATTGTTGTTTTTTTTTGGTTGCTTCCAAAGGCGGGCCTGAAAACTGTCCGGTCTGTCTGCTACACATTTCTGCCTAATTGTGTGACAGATTTTTTATTCTTAACGTTCACCGGCTTTCAACTCCGACAGAAAGTTCTGGTTGTTCGTCCACTTCTGGGCTTTAGTCTTATTTCAGAACTTGAGTTTACTGGAAAGCTAACCCAGTCAACAATTGCCTGCAGATGTCGGATGTTTCAACCGAAAGACGCAGATATCGCTACCATGCTGTAAACGGGCACAACACAGTTACATCTTCGGAATGAACGCAGAAGGAAAAAAGGCGGTAGGGTGACTTGAGTTTTGTGTGCGCATCCGTTTTACAGATCTGGTTTGCTTGTATGTAAACTATTATTCGACGCCTCTAAAGGAGATGCACTTTGTCTTCGAAGGATGACCATAATTAGTCCACTTTTGCGACATACTTGTAGGGAGGCCTATTCTTGGTTTTCCCCCAACGGGAGACCCCTAAACCCACACGGGGAATTGTCTCAGTCAAAACCTCTTTCCTGGTGAATGCTTGTAGGGAGGCCTATTCTTGGTTTTCCCCCAACGGGAGGCCCCTGAACCCACACGGGGAATTGTCTCAGTCAAAACCTCTTTCCTGGTGAAATTTTATTAAAGTAAAAAGCAAAGGACCCTTTCCCCCGCCTTCAGGCGTTTCGGGCATATAGAGCTAGACCGATCGTCACTTGGTGGCTCATGTGGTCAGCTTGAAACCGGCCGCCTTTACTTCCCATGACTTTACACGGTACCCACTCAAGGCTGGGTCGACCAAGGTAATTTTTGTAGAGAAAAAAAAAGAGTTCAGCTTCGTCAGGATCCGAACCCACAACCTTCCGATCTGGTGTTTTTAACTCAGTCAGAAATCAGTGAGCTTTTGGGCGTTGCGAAGGCGCTTCGTAATGCCGGGAGTGCCGGATTCGATCCTAGCAGATTGGCACTAAAACGTCTTGCGCTGGGTTCAACAGTGTGACCGAGAGCTGCCCCGATCGGACAGCAATGGCAAACTACAGTAGCATTTGCCTAGAAAAACCATAAAAGCCAAACAATGCTTCAGTTGGTTCTGCAACGTCCCATATTAAAAAGCAGGCATGCCTGCAGACCTGCACAAACGAAATATTCTGCAATCATTTTTAGTAAATGACTCCAATTAGTTGTAGTGTATGGCCATCGTGACGTCACAGTTAGGCCCATACGGCCCCCAGCCGACCCTCACTTTGACATGCCTGTTGTAAAGCCTAGCACCAACTTAAGCGTTCTCTATCTGTTGGGTCATCGACCTGTTCACTTTCTAAGTGGATGCCTGTATTTCTGTGGGTTTACAAAAGTCCATTTGGACGAACCACCGCGACTTACCGCCGGAATTCACAGCCGGTGAACAAGAAGAGGAAGAAAGAATATTCTCCTCTGATGTTTAGAAGAAACCAAAAGATGAACGAATAAACACACTTTATTTTCTGAAGAGTCACAAATTGGGCACGCAGGCCTGTCTCACATTCGAGTCTTCCAAACACTCATTTTTAAAGCATATTATGGTCCTAGCTGTATCCAGACTATGGATATAAGTTTTAAAAAACCAACAGGGTGCTTTATTAATATCTTACCCCAAACAGGGGAAATCCACAGGTCACGGGACAGTCTAATATTTCAAGGGATGGTATGCAGTCGTGGGACCTAGGCTGCACTCTCTCGTGGGACGTAGGCGGGTTGGGGTTAGGTCCAGTTCTAGATGTCTTGGGGTCGTTAAAAGCATCGGAAAGCCGGAAAACCCAGTCTTACCACCTTCTAACATGTTGGACTGTCCTGTGACGTCATCTGGGGGTAGGCTATTAATAAAGAACCACCAACAGAAGTTGATGTGAAAGGCCACAGGTGCTGGTGTGAATTCCATCCATGATATTGAAATTATAGCCCATGATATAGCGGAGCGGAGGGATAGACGAGCAAGCCCTGTGCGACATATAACACCACAACCGTCAGATGAAAATATTCGTGTCTATTCATTTCTTTATCAGGTCGGCGTTACTTCAGCTCCGCCATTACCCGTGCCAGGTCCGGATGAGAAAGGAGCAGGGTTGGGCGTGGGGCCAGCTCCCCCGCCCTGTAAACAAGTATTTGCTGCAGAAACTTGCAGGAAAGGATCCGACTCTGGTAAACCTCTGTGATATCTAACTGATTGCACGGGGTATAATGAAATGAAGGATTAGCTTGTGAGCTCTATGCGACATATAATGGCACACGGGGGCAATAAATGAATGGAT